GCTTCATGAAGAGTAAGTCCGGCTCCAATAATGGTGACTTTGTCATTGACACTGTGGCGGACTACCTTAGCCTGTCCAATCTCAAAATTTTCTTGTGGGGTATAAATCACTGCAGTTTCTGTTGGGCTTGTCCTAATGAAGCACATCCCCTTGTTATTGGCAGCTAGATAAACAGCATGCTCTGTCGAGACAGCATCGCTTGGATAGAAAACAGTGCAGTTGGGAATGCTTCGGAACATGGCTAGATCCTCTAGGGCCATCTGGGAGGGTTCATCTTCACCAATGGATACCCCGCAGTGGGCACCAATAAGATTGATATTGGTTTGAGAGATGGCTCCCATCCGGATCTGATCAAATGCTCGAGTCAAAAAGGCAGCAAAGGTACTAACAAAAGGAATCGTTCGACCACGTGTGGCACAGCCCAGTGCCACACTTACCATGTTTTGCTCAGCCATAAAACACTCGATAAAACGCTCAGGGTGTTCTTTCTTAAATATCTCAGAAAAGGTGAAATCCTTTGTGTCACCATCCAGGACAATAACCCTTTTATTTGCGTGGCCCAATTTAGCCACAGCCAAACCATATGCTTTCTGAGTAGCTATTTCGTCGCCCACCTTATAATCAATCAGAGAGGTCATTCTTATGTTCTTGATGCTGATTTGAGGTGAGTCTTCAACGGGGGGTTTCGGTATGAGATTCTTGTTGGTCTGTATCTGACTCTCAATTAATCTGATGATCGCGTCCGCTCTTTCTTTCGGCATGGGCTTTCCATGCCAGTTTTCTGCATCTTCGACCTTGGGAATGCCCCGGCCCTTGAAGGTCTTCGCAACAACGGCCGTGGGCTTGTTCTTCACCTGAGCGGCCTGCCAGAACGCGTGGCACAACGCCTCCACGTCGTGGCCATCCACCACGTAAGTATTCCACCCGAAGGCTTCGCAGCGCTGCCGGTAGATGTCCGTGCAGTGCCCCAGGGGCGCGGGGCCGCTTTGTCCCAAACGGTTCACGTCGAAGACGGCCACCAGGTTGTCCAGGCCGTGGTGGGACGCGAAGGCCAGTGCCTCCCAGACAGAGCCTTCCGAGGCCTCGCCGTCGCCCAGGAGGCAGAACGCGCGGTAGCTGGCCTTGTCCAAGCGCTTGCCGGTGTAGGCCATGCCGCACGCGGCGCCCAGCCCCTGCCCGAGCGAGCCGGTGGCCACGTCCACGAAGGGCAGTCTCGGGGTGGGGTGTCCCTCCAAGTCACAGTCAATTTTCCTCAAGTTCAGCAGCTCCGACTCGCTGACGTCGCCCACCTCCGCCCAGGCCGCATAGAGGAGGGGGGCCGCGTGGCCCTTGGAGAGCACGAACCTGTCGTTGTCCGGGTGCTCGGGGTCTGCGGGCTTGTACCGCATCGTGTGGAAGAAGAGCACGGCCAGGATCTCGGCCGCGCTGCAGCACGACGTGGGGTGGCCGGAGCTGCAGGCACTCGTGGCCCTGATGGAGTGGATCCGCAGGCGGTTGGCCAGGTCCCGCAGCACCTGCAGGGTGTCCGCGTCGGGCTTGGCGTCGTCAGCCATGAGGGCCACACTCTCTGCTACTCCCGTGGAGCGGACGTTGCCTGCACCAACCGCACCTGTTCCATTCCATCCCGTCACGTGATGCCCCCCCCCGCCCCACCCCCTCGACGTTAGGAGCTCAGCCACCAGCAGGCGGCGCTAGGGGCGACTGTGCCGCAGGACTTGTCACCCGACTGGGCCTATTGTCAGACTTCGGGTGCACCGTGTGACTCCACCTCTTCTTCTGCACCTGACCATCTCCTTTGCAGTCCAACTGAATGGATTTTAAATATTAACTTTGTTACTTGCATGGGCAGCATTATAAATTCAAAAGGGGGGGCATTTTTATATCCATATCTTACAGGCACCATTGGTGAGGTTGTGCTTCTTTTACATGCATTCACACTATACCGGCGACATCCCCCTTTTCAGCAGAGCACTAGTGGAAATTACTGAAAGCCACTTCAAATCTGACGTGGCAACATTGTCAACAGACTTTCTCAGATCAATGGAAAATTCTGACTTACAGACAAAAATACGCTGACACATTGGACCAAAAACTACAAGATCAAAAACAAAAACATTCAATGCAGAGTATCTAGAACTGCAATTTCCCTAGTATACTCTAAAATAGTATTACTGTTACTACAAATAATGACTTTTTAAGACAAAATTAATTTACTTTACTTATAAAATTAATTTGTGCCACTGAACTCTTCTAGCTGGCAAGGGTTATAGCTTGTCATCAAAAATAAAACAAAAGAAAACCCGCAATGAATATCTTGATTCTTGAGTAATAATTCTTATCATTGATTTCATATTAAAATCATAACTATGGAAAAAGAAACAAAAAAATAATAAATCCAACCAAACAAAAACAAAACTGGGTTTCAACCCAGAAAAAAAAAATGAAACTGAATCTCTGGAAGTACAGTCTGGGAAGCTATAATTTTAAAATGCATGCATTAATTTTAATGTGTAGTCAAAAGTTAAGAATGGAGAGTCATCTATAGATGGTTCTTAACATTGGTTGTACTTTAGAGTTATCTAGCCAGTTTTTAAAAGTCTCATATCCCGGATACCCTCCAAGCCAATCAAGTTAGCCAATCAAAATGTGCCTGGGCATCGCAATTTCAAAAGCTCCTCAGACAATTTCAGTACTTAATCAGGTTGTAAACAATTCACTCAGGGTATTTTGCTACATTAGATCTCAGAAAAAAATTTAAATATTATTTGATATTTAAACTAGTTTTGTCATTTTCATTTTAAGGGTACATATTAAAATAACTCATAATGGTATGACACTAACAAGATTTTGATACTTGTTGAAAGAATGTTGGATTAAGAAAAATCCTTAAGAGGTCATCTTGTATTCATTACTTCCAATTCCTTTTGCAAATTAATGTTTGCTTATTTTTTTAGACAAAGGAAAACAAACTAAAGACAAACTAGAGTTGGACTAGGAGTAAAGATGGGAATTAGAGAAAAAAATCACAGCATCATAAGAGCAAACTACTAGCAGCTGACTGGAAAGCAGTTAATCCTGGCTAAGAAGAGTTCTAATATCCAAATGATTGGTAAAATGATAATTTAAAAATGATCTCTGAGGAAGTGTTCACATGAAAAAAAGATGGGAGAAATAGCAACAGCTTAACATTTCAAGTTCCCAAATTCTTCAAGTCATTTAAAGTTTGCACAACTGTTTCCCAAAGTATTAAACTGAAAGTTTCTAACATTACTAAAGGTCAGCTTTATTAAGAAAAAACTGTGGTCTTGTACATTTAATACCCTAGATAGTGGTATGAATTCCCTTCTGTCATTCTATGAAACTGGATTTTATACTCTAAAAAATAATATTTTGTAAGTTATATGTAAAATATTTTAAAGTGTTTTTATATATTTAAAGGGAAACCCAGAAAATTATATAAAAGTTATTAATATTTCTTTGAAGCATTATAATATTTTAGAATATATTTACAAATATACAATAGAAAATAACCATGTAAGTATATAGTATGCATAATTGGATAATGCAAAATTACCTAATGTGGCTGTGAAAACAATTTAGTCAAATAAATCAAAGACATGATGCAACATTCTACTTCCCCTATTAGAAAAGGCTGTCACTGACAAAAGGCCAGCCAAATGTCTTTAAGTAAGCATGCCAAACATATAGTTGTCTTGGAAAAATTATACCTTTTAGGTCATTTTGGAAGACAATTGAAAGATTTCTGCAAATAGGAAGGAACTATTCATTTACTACTTTCGGTTTATCTATCTCAAAGTGGGATTGGTAAACTCAAGTGCATACTGGACTAGAGAGGTACCATGAGTGTATGAATGTCAGATATGTATAAGAGGACTGGAGGGATCAGTCCTCTTATCAGTTTTTTACTAAAAATGTAATCCCCCACTCAAGCAGTTGGTTTTCCTACTTTTTGAAATGTTACGTTTTCCATTATATATGTGAAGCTATATTACCAATATATTTAAAATAGACACTTTTTATCATTATGAATTAATCTATCTACCATATTTCCTTAGTCTACTTTGTTTAACATTAATATATTTATACTAACACTCTATTCATTAGTATTTGCTTAGCATACCTCTTCCATCTTTGATTTTAAAATTTTGTTTACTTATAGATATCTCACAAACAGGACATAGTCACATGTTTTAAATCCAATATGACGTGTTAATATTTTAATTAGGGCACTTAGTCCACAATTATTGCTATATGGATTTAAATCTACCATTTTTGTTTTCTAGTTACCCAGTCTTGTTTCTTTTTTCTCTTTGTCTCCTTGCTTTGAATGAGTTTTTAAATTATTATTTATTGATTTTTCTCTACTTGTTTGTATCCTGTCCAAGGTTACATATATCCTTTTAACGGTTACTCTGGAAATTAACATGTATTCCTATTGTATCACCCAATATTAACAAATACTTAACCATTATACACAAACACACACATCTTTGTGTATTTGTTAAAGCACAGGAAAATATCTCTAAAGATATCTCCAAACTATCTACAGTAGTTTATTGGGGGGCAGGGGGTTGGCTTGAAGAAGAGGCCTTGGGGGATTCCTTTTGCTGTTCGTGAGCAGTCCTCCCGGGAGCAGGCAGCCTCTGCTAGGCAGGTGCCCCGAAGAGGAGAGTCTAGTCCGGCTTGGAGCTGTGCACCTAGTCTCTTGCCCTTGATCCGCCTGGGACAGCACGGGCCTGTAGCGGCAGGCGCCGGTGGTACCGGCTCAAACCTCCCTCTCGCAGTCCACGCGGGGCCAAGTTCACCCTCCAGCCCCGAGCTCCCAAGCAGCGCGCTCCGCGGGGATGCAAGGAGGAGGTTGCTCGCTGGGACGAGCTAAAAATCCAACACGGACGAAATTGACCAGGTCTCGGTTTCCCGGGACATTTTAGAGAAACGTACTCGCCCCTCCTTTTCCGGTCGGGTCCGCCCAGCTTTCTGCGGCCCCACGTGTTTCTGCTGGAGGCCTACTGTCAGCTGCAGGTTCTGCTGTAGGTGAAGTTTCCCAGGTGTGGAGTGCAGAGGCCTCCCGAGGCCGCGAGGACGTCACTATGGTGGGCCTCCTCCTCCTTCTTAGAACCTGTTTGGTTCCCGAGAAGGCTCCCGATGGGGGAGAAAGGGTGCGGTTTTGGGAAGCCGGGAGAAAGGAGGACGCGAAGTGATTACATGGGGTGTGGCACGCAGGGGTTGGGGGTGCGGGGCGAGGCATCCGGGAGGAGGGTCCCTGGCTGGCTTCCAGACCATAACTTTTTTGAGTTCTCGCTGTTCGCCGGCTCCTTGCTATTTCTCGCCTCGTGCTTAACTTCCCAGTCATTGCCCTCTCCGGGGGAGATCCGTACAGATACATTTTCTCGCTATTCGGCAAAATTCGTAAACACGTTCCTTGTTTACTCCCGTGCCCCCTCTCTTCCCGCCTAGACTGCGTGGGCTCTGTCGCCGCTTTCTTGGCGTCCTTTCACCGCTTTCTAGTGACCCACTCTCGCCCGTAGTCTTGCCTTCACGCCTCCCTTTGCTGCTAAGGCACTGAAACTTTCTTTGTTTTTATTAAAAACTGAGACGTGAGTGCTTATATAATACACTTAAGTATAAAGATTAGCGGTATAAGGAACGCTTGTTTATCCATTATCCAGTTTAGGAAATAAATCAACATAGCTTTTCAAAGCCTCTGTGTTCCCCATCTTGACACTATAACCATCAGGAACCCCCACAGAGGTAAACAGGTCCGAATAATGTATTTATAATTACCTTGCTTTTCTTTATGGTTGCTACTTAAGTTTGCGTTGCAAAACTATTTGTTGTTTCTTACTTTTCACCTGTTGTGTTTTTGAGAATAATTTTTGAATAGGAACATGTTTTATAAATATCCCTTTTTCAACTAGTTTTTAATAAAAACAAAAAGGATACTCTGGCAGCACCGTCTTTTTTTCCTCTTTCTCTGGTCCTTTTTCTTTCTACTTGTGTGACTGTTTTTGCCTCTCGTGTCTATGTAGTCTTTTTCATTAGATTGCGTACATACACCTTTGTGTAAATTCAGTTTTTGTTTATCACTATATTTGTCCTACTTCCAGTTCCTCATAATTTTTTTATAGCCTTTCCTCTTCAAAGTGGAACATAAAAACATTAATAATGTGTTGGTGTGTGAGCGATTCAGGGGTTAATTGGCACTGGACTGCCGACCTTGACTACCAGAACTTCACTTTTTTCAGACTGCATGGTAGGAGCGTCTTGCCTTGTAAGAGTCAAAAGAGTGGCATGTAAATCTTTTATCATTGGCACATTTTCTGCCCTTTCATTTTACTGATATATTTTCCCTGTCTCTGCTATGTCCTCTCTTGAATTTGAACCCACCTTGTAACTGGGGGGTTTCCATCTAGACTCTTACATTAGTTACTCTAAACTTATTTCAGTACAGTTCAGAATGTGGGCTATGGCATACCAGAGGACTGGGCCTGGCACCTGTATCTTTACTACATTGTGATCTTGGTGAAATTACTTAATCCCTCTTTGTTGTCCTGCCTATTCCCTCAGGGTAACCATAATGCCTAGAGGATTACCGTGAAAATTAAATGCAAACCAATTATCCCTATGCCCACTAGTTAGTAAATGTTAGTTGTGTTGATTAACTTTAGTGGTATCACTAAATTAACTTCAGTGAATGTCATCAATAGTGACATTACAGCTTGTAGTTGTCTATTTTTGTTTCTTGTTCATTTATTTTTTGTTTATTGTGAATCTTTCCTAGAGCTTCACAAATTCATATCTTTTCCTTATATCAAAATTGAACTGACTTGAAGACTCGTTTCAAACTAATTCATCCCACCCAATACTTTTTATTCTGCATTTAAAAAAGGTTTTAGTGCTTTTAAGTTTGGTGTGTACTAGGCTACTAGGCATTCACAGGTATACTCCTTTTTATATAAGCTCGTTATTATAGAGTTTAAATGTGTTTATTTACCTGGCTAGATTATAAACCATTAAAAAGTATGCTATCGTCCTCCCTTGATTACTGTGGGCATTAATTACAATTGACTTCCTACACATTCTTTAATGACAAGAATTGTGTGCTTTTGGGTTCACACCTATAAATGTGAGCTTATACTTGTTTTTTTTTTCTTTCCAGCTGTATTGAGATACAATTGACATAACATTGTGTCGGTTTAAATTATACAATGTGATGATGTGTCATACATATAGAAATGTATTGTGAAATTACTGCCACAATCAGCTTTGGTAACAATCTCCTTCACAGTTACCTTTTACCCCTGTTGTAAAAACTTCTAAGATCTACTCTTTTTGTAACTTTGAAGTCTATAATACAATATTTTTAACTGTAGTCACCATGCTGTACCCTAGATCCCCAGAACTTACTCATCTTATAACGAGAAGTTTGTATCCATTGACTTCCGGTTCATCCATTCTCTCCCCTTCATCTATCCCCCCCTTACCCTTACAACCAACATTTTACACCCTGTTTTTTATTTTTTCATTTTAAGAGGAATATTTGAAGCATATCACCCCTGAAATACCTGTTGCTATATATCTTTGAGTAAACGATGTCATTTCTTTTGTAACTCGCAATTCTGAATTCAAAGAATAGTTTAGAATAAATTTTCTGAAATAATCACTGACGATTATAAGAGAGAGAAACTTTCAAAACAGGTTTTCTGACTAGAATATTTCTGTGGTGCCAGAAACTTTTCAAAGTAGTTATAGCTATTCAAAAAAACAGTCTATTAGTTATACATATGAAAAGAAATTATATTTTTGCTGTATCTTTGAAAGTTAAATTTCATACTTTTTAAAGCATAAAATGTTAGTCTTCCATAGAAAATATACCTTAAATTCATCCCCACTTTATGTTCCATACTATTCATGAATCATCAGATGCTGTACAAAATAAATTTGGAGAACCCCTGAATAATAGAGATTAATTGGTTTTTAGTTAAGATATTTAGTTTGAATAGGCTGTTTAATAGATTAACATTTTATTGATAGGGTTTACTTCAGTTTCCCTTGTTGAAGCATTTTGTTGGAGTTTTTTATTGTGATATTCTGATAAATAGGAAAATGTTCTGAAATTTAGTGTTTTATTGTACATTTTCTGTGCTATATATATATATATATATATATATATATTCTGCCTTGAGGCAACCTTTTTATGAATAAGTTATTATAAGGAATTATAAACTACAGTTGGGTCAGATTACAAGTTCATTTTCTTTGTATCTTCTTTATACTGAGTCTCAGAGGTTCTTTGACTTCTTCTAAAACTATGAGGATATTTCATAGTCTATGGGTATCAAAGTACTTCTTGTTCTAAAGAAAGTTTTAAATCTTTAAAGGAATTTTTTTATACACCTGAACAGAGTGTTATATATCTCTAACTTCAGTTAAGTTTTAGCAGCTTCAGAGAGCATTTTTTTTGAGGTTTTTGTGACTTATTTTATTTGTTAGGATGTGAAACAAAGCTATCTTTTCAAAGAGCATACTTGGCTTTAGTTTTGTTTTATTTTTTGGTCTTGCATTAGTCTATCTCTTTGTGTAACAAGACTATCGCAACATTTAGTGGCTTAAAACAATAGCATTTATTATTGCACAGTTTCTGTGGGTTAAAGTTGAGGAATGGTTTACCAGGTTTTGGCCTCTATGTTTTTTACAAGGTTGCAATGAAAGTATAATCTGAGGCTGTGATTTAACCCCAAGGCACAGCTTGGGGAAGATCCACTTCGCAGCTCACTCACATGATTCTTGGTACATTCAGCATCTCATGGGCTTTGGGACTGAGGGCCCACTTCTTCACTGGCCATTTACTTGGAGCCTCGAGGTGGCTGTCACATAGACCGCTCTATAGGGCAGTTCACTGCATGACAGCTGGTTTCCGTCAGAGCGAGTCAAGAGACAGTAGCCAAGAGAGAAGCCAGTGTCCTTTCAAAACCTAAGCTCAGGGTTGAAATCTCATTGTTTTTGCCAAATGCTGTTTAATAAAAGCGAGTCACTAGGTCTTCACTGTGGGAGGGAGACCCGGATTAGATATGGGCATGAATATCAGGAGGTGGGGTTCACTGGGGGCCATCTTAGAGGCAGCCGCCCATGAGTTCTGAAAGGTTTTACTTGATTTGTGTTTGCTAGGTAAACCATGCACAAAAAATTCTTGTCACACCTTCCTCTTCCCTGCCCCTTGACTCTACATGAGCAGAGAGACACACAAATGAATGCATGTACTGCTTTATGATGGTTTTACTCTGAATTCCCTTATTCCTGTAACCAACTTACAGTGGCATCTGAGTTTCAGACTTGGAGCTATCTTCTCTGGCCAGGTTTATCAGTAAGGGAGCAGAAAATCTTTGTGGAATATTTATCTGTTGAAGGAATGGATACGTGTGTGAGTAAGGATTTGGTGGTCCTTTTAATTTTACAAAGGAATTGACTTGCAGCTGTGTCTTATTAAAGATAAGCAAAGAAAAGGATTTTGTGGGCAGAGGTAAATAGTACAGTCTCAAGAAGTTAAAAAACAGCAAGGTGTATTCTGGAACTGGTGAGCAGTTCGGTAGGAATGGACAGATGGAGATTTTGAAGGAAGATGTAGTACAGGAGAGGTAGGTTGAGGGTACGTTGTTTTCCACGCTAAGGACTTGGACCTAGCTACAAGCTAGTAGAGTGAGTGTCGTGGAAAACACGAGCTCTGTGACCTCTGTGAAGAAAGGACCGGCAGGGAGCACCTCCAGGCCACCCTGGTCATGAAAGGTCATGAGGCTGAATTAAGGCAATGATAATATTTTGAAGAAAAGATTCTAGAATTCTTAACCTTTTTGAGTATTAGGTATATTAGAGACTGCTAGCTGTCCCCTTATAGACTCTTTCTTCTATAGTAATTTATTTATTTTTTTCTGAGAAATGTAAAGAAATTTACATTTACATTTCTCCCTCATACAACTCTGAGTAAATTTTGGTCAGAAGATTCTGTGACTTCCCAGATCTTGCTCCTAAAGGAAAGGCGGATGTATACCTTTTGATTTCCTTTTCTACTTCTCACTGGCTGGAGTTTAGACTTGGCATCAAGCTATCTTGGCTTATCTGTGTATACAGGAGGTTATAGCCTGAAGATAGTAGATGGCGGGGTGGAAGGAGCCTGGGTTTCTGAGGGCTTTATGGAGTGGAGCCTCCAGCTCCTACTTTTTCCATGAGAGAACTTAATTTTGTCTGGGTTAAGCTATTAAAATTTGGGTTTTTTATTATAGGAAGCCAGACCCAATTCCTAAATAATAATAGGTGTGATAAGATATAGAGTATGTAGGGTTAAAGACTTATACTGAAATGTGTAGCTTAGAGAACTGGACGAATGACGACTTAGTTAACTGGCATAAGGCTTGAATAGGAAAAATCATTTGTTTCCTTTTGGGTGTGCTAATTTTGAGAAGGCTTCTATTATTTCCTCTTTCCTGTTTTCCTATGAGCCCAGCTTTGATTCTGTTGGATTCACTGCCCACTCTGTTCCATGTACAGCTTCCCCGATCCAGCTCCCAGTACGTCCTCTGTTCTTTCTGCCCCCCTTAATTTTCTTAACTGTGATGCAAACTTTCAATTGCCAGCCCCCTCATTATCTGCATTTTTTGTACCTGCTCTGAAGATGGAGCTGTTTAAGAACTGCTTTTTCAACCCTTTATGTTCCTTTCTTTATATTTTTTTACCTCATGGAGAATATTTCTGAATATGTCATTTCTTTTATGACCATGGAAACAAAGATGGTTTGAATTATTTGCCAGGTCTGGCTTATCTCCTGATTCCTGGTGTAGTGTTTCTGGCTCCAAGTATTTCTGTTATGTTACTATTTCTAACATTTGTTTCTGAAGAAAAATTGTTGACAGAAGTCACAAATATCTGACTTACATATATTATATGTTTTCCTACATTTTAGCCTAAAGCACTAAAGGGAAAAAGTGGAGGACAGGAAAAAAAAGTCGTCCATCCGTATAGTAGAAAAGCAGCTCAAATTACGAGGGAGGCCCACAAACAGGAAAAAAAGGAAAAGTAAGTGTCTTTTTGTTATTTCTATTATGTGTTGGTGAAAAGCCAATTTTACACATTTCTCCTTCAACAGTACTCCTTTCTTTAATAAATACATTAAGTGTGTTCTGTGCACTGAAGGTAAAACAGTAAACCGGAATTCAGCTCTTATAGAGCTTACCTAAAACAGACACATCAATTTAAACAGGCTGTGATGAGTGCAGAGAAGAAAAACTAAGAAGGATTATGAGATGGAGAGTGAGGACTTGAATATGAAGAGGCAGGGATCAGTGGGGGCCACTGTGGAGACTGCCACCTTCTGTTAACTATCTGCCTGCCAAAGACATTTGGTTTTCTAAAAGGAACACAGGTAGCCAGGCAGCTTGGAGTGTCTGGCCTCTCGACTTTTCCACAGAACCCAGGCTTCTTCGTATCACTTCCCAAGGTTTCTTTTAGGCAGAAAGAGAGGGGACCAGAGTCTGAGAGGATGTCTGTTAGGGAACAGTGCCTTTGACCCATGGTGGAGCCTACAAAGCCAGACCTGCTGGGTTGATCAGATGGGCTCTTATTGATGGCCTCTGATCACTGAAAGATGCTGCAGGAGCGGCTGGCAACAGAGGAAGTGTTCCGACATGTTCTTCACATTCAGTGCTTGAGTGCTCTGATTTAGAACTATATGAAATACTGCTTCTGTTCACATTCAAAGAAACTGGTTTGAAGACTAGCACATTTCAAGCAAAATTCAATTTATAGGCAGCAAATGGCTATATCATGATTTTAGCTTTATTTTAGGATCTCTTAGCATCATGCAGCAAATGGCTATATCATGAATTTAGAGCTATTTTAGGATCTCTCAGCATCATGCAGCAAATGGCTATATCATGAATTTAGAGCTATTTTAGGATCTCAGCGTTTTGTTGCTATGTGCTGTTATATCTTGTCCTACAGGGTATGTAGTAAGGAGTTCTCAGTACCGAATGAAAATGACTTAGTATGAAAAATTAAGGAAGGGGGTAAGAATCCAGGAAACAACTACTTTTGAGAAGTAATCTCATATTTCTTTACTTTTCTTTATCCCAGCTCATACCTTTCTAGTTTAGGCCCTCATTGAATTCTTTCAACTTGACTTCTAACTGGAGTCTTCCCTCCAGGTTTTATGGAAAAGAATGAATTCTCAAAGCCATTCTCTACCTTGTTATGAAGTATTCTTTATTTTTTAAAAATTAACTTTGGCCCTGGCTGGCGTAGCTCAGTGGATTGAGCACGGGCTTCGAACCAAAGCATCGCAAGTTCAGTTCCCAGTCAGGGCACATACCTGGGTTGCAGGCCACAGCCCCTAGCAACCACACATTGATGTTTCTCGCTCGCTCTCTCCCTCCCTTCCCTCTTTAAAAATAAATAAATAAAATCTTTAAAAAAATTAACTGAGGTTAAATAACATACAATAAAATAGATATGTTTTAAATGTATAGATTTGGGGTTTTGACAGTACCCTGGTGTAACCCCCAGGGATTACTATATAATGCACTTTCTTCCTCCCAAAACATTCCCTGTGCTTCTTCCCGGACAACCCGCCTCCTTCACCCCCAGCTCTTCATTTTGATAGATGAGATTTGTGTTTCCTAATGTTTCATGTAAATGAATTCATACCGTATGTAATATTTTGTGCCAGCTTTTTCCACTTAGAATGTTTGTGAAATTTATCCATGTTGTTTCACATATTAGTTGTCTTTTTCTTTTATTACCAAATAGTGTTCCATTGTATGAATATGCATTTTGTTTATTCACAAGTTGATGGTCATTTGGATGGTTTTGAGTTTTGGGCTGTTACTGAGGTCTGCAAACTAAGGGCCCAGACCTCATTTTTATTTTAAACAAAGTTTTGTGGGGAGGTAGTTATGCCCATTCCTTTTGTATTGTCTGTGGCTGCTTTCAGGCTACACTGGCAGAGATGAGTCGTTGCCATGGAGACTGGCCACATCGCCTACAACGCCTACCATCTTACCACCTGGGCATTTGAGAAAAAAAATTGCCAGCCCCTACTATTATAAATAAAGCTGTCATTAGCATTCATGTACAATATGTGTGGACATATATTTTCATTTTTATTTTAGTTCCTAGAACTGGAATCTCTGGGTCATATGGTAGATCTATGTTTAAGAATGTAAGAAATTAAGTTTATAAGAATTGTTTGTCACATGATAGATGTAATGCTTAAGTATGTAAGAAATTGCCTTATCCAAAGTGATCGTACCGTTTTAGATTTTAACCACCAGTGTATGTGTTACATTTGCTCCATATCCTCTCAAACACATTGTATTATTGTGTTTGTCAGCCAAACAAAAATGGAGGTTCAGCTCCCTGTCAATGCAAAAGCCAAACTTGTGGGGCAGATGCTGGTGCAAAAGGAAAGAAGTTTTATTCAGGTGCTGCGGGATCTGGGAAAATGGGTGACTTCTATCACCAAGCCCATCTCCCTCACAAGACCAAGATAAAGCTAGTGTCCAAAGTTCCTGCTCCATTTGGAGCAGCAGGTGACTGCCAAGTGGCCACAGCCCCATGCAGGTAGCTTTGTTTGTCCCCGGCTGCTGTGCATGTCAAGCTCCCTCCTGGAACCTGCATGCGGAGGCCATGTGGCCATGGGCCTTGCAGCTGCTAGGACCACTAGCTCGTGTGCTCCTGAGAGAGAGTGCATCACCAGGTGGGCAAGAGAGAGCGAGAAGCTCCCTCCCCAAAGCCATGGACCACGTGGCCGTAGAGAGGACAGGCAAGAGCACTGTGTGAGTGCAGGTCATAAGCAAGAGCTCTTTGTTCCCCTGGGACTACATTAGCTTGGGCTTGGGATGGAGTAAGTACTTTCTCAAAATGACCAGTCACCTTCCCAAACTTGTGCACAATTTGGGTGGGTTCACCTCCCAACCAACCCCTTCTTTCCCCACATTAGACTGACAGGCCTCTTTGGTCCAGTACCTACCCCTGCTCCATTTTGACTTCTATGGCACATGTGCCTGCCTTCCCTAGTCCCATCCTCAATCTGGTACCGAAGGGGAGGGGCTTTTTTTCTACACAGTGATCTTGCTAGCTTTTCGCATGCTCAGTGGAAGAACCACCACTCCCCCCCCCCCCACCTCCGCCTTTCACTTGGCCGATGGGGGATACTCTCCTGCACTATGACTGACTTATGATGATAACATTGTCCATTTTTTTAAAGATTTTTATTTCTAGAGAGGGGAACAGAAGGAGAAAGAGGTAAAGAAACATGTGTGAGATTGATCAGTTGCCTCTCACAACCCCCCAGCTGGAGACCTGGTCCACAACCCAGGCATGTGCCCTGACCAAGAATTGAACCTGCAACCTTCTGGTTCACCGACTGGCACTCAGTCCACTGAGTCATACCAGCCAGGGCATCATTTTTTTTTTTTTTAATTTAGCCAGTATAGTAGTATTTCACTATGGTTTTAATTTGCACACTTAGTACTCTTGATGGCTAACAATGTTAAGTATCTTTTTGTGTGTTTATTGGTCATATGTGTGCCTTTGATTTGATGGAAAAAAATCTGTTAAAATCTTTTGTGCTTTTATGTATTGGGTTTTTTGTCTCATTAGGTAGGAAGAACTGTTTGTATATTTTGAATATATTTTCTTTCATTCTGTGGCTAAAGAAATTTTTATAAAAGAGGCTTCATTTTATTTTCCAGTTTTCTAATGGCTTAAAGTAGGAGAGTAAATCTGGTCTGTTTTTTGGGGGGCAGGGACAGTGTAACCCTAGTGAGTGGCAGATAGTGTGGCAAACACTAGCTACCCAAAGGTCTTTTCTGAATGAATTAGTATTCAGAATATCAGCAAAAGGAGGCATGTATTTTCTAGACTTTTCTGAGAATAGATGAGTTATTTTTCTTCATTATAATTCTTTTTTTAAGATTTTATGTATTTATTTTTATAGAGAGGGACAAAGAGAGGGAGAGAAACATCAATATGTGGTTGCCTCTCATGTGCCCCCCAACTGGGGGCCTGCAACCCAGGCATGGGCCCTGACTGGGAATCTGAACCGGCGACCCTTTGGTTTGCAGGTTGGCACTCAACCACTGAGCCGCACCAGCCAGGGCTGTTATGATTCTTTCCAAATTTATGAAGAGTGAATATTCTGTTTTGTTCTTGTTGAAGTTTAAAAGACAACAGGAATGTATTTCGGTCTTGGTGGCAGCACTCAAGTCTTCTGGAAGGTATTCATTACTCTTTTGTGCCAAGTATTCTGCACGTTACAAAACCCACCTGAACATTCATAATCCAGTCAAGCTCCCATTTGTGTTTTTAAAACTGATTGTACTATAGGTGTCCTTGAGTCATTGAGCTAAGAAAACTCACTAACAATTTGTTCCAGGGATTTAAAAAAGAAGCATAATAATGTTCAGTGTTTCTATGTCAGTTAAATTAATTTCATATTTATGAAAGAATGATCTTTGAATTAAGGGGTTTTTTTAGGCAGTTTTTTGTCTTTTTGACAGATTTTAAAAATGTGCTTTGGAAATTGTCTAACACATGTACCTTTTCTTCCAAGGTTGAAGAATGAAAAAGCATTGCGTCTCAATCTTATTGGTAAGTGGATTTACTTATTTCACATTTTGGCTAGAGTACAGTGAAATTCTGCCCTATACTTATTTTTCTTCTGACTTTCCTAGTGAAATAATATCTCTAAGTGAATTTTCTTTACCAGACTTGATTAAAATAAAACAAAATAAAATCAATCATTAAACCCTTAGAATAGTGTTGTCAATATCTGGCTCAGTTTTTCAGGAATTATTTGGTTTGTGATCACCTGCCTAACTACCTGTCTCCATACCTGTCTCTGCCTGCCTGCCTGCCTGCCAGTCTATCTATAGATCTGTCTAAGTGTCTTTTTATAGCCGAAGTTTAATATTAACTCCCTAACCATTAGAATTATGGCCTGAGTATTTTGGGAGTAGGAGTTCATATGTAATGTTTCCAAAATGCTCATTCTGTATCTCAGTGTCACAGTCTCTGGGAGAGGGGCCGGGAGTGTAAACTCATTGTTAGAAATTTTTGCTGATAAGCCTGAAACTTCAAAATAGTGAATATTAGGCTTTATTTCCGAAATTAAAGGTATTTGAACCTTTATCTAATACATCATCAGGTAATGGAATAGTATTTCTAAGTGGGTTATCAGTATCTGGGGTAGGGCCATTTCTTCATCCCTAATTTTGAGAAATCTCACTGTAAGTGACCCTGATGGTCTGATTTACCCATAAGAATTAGCATCTTATATGTTTAATATATTTACTGACTTGGAGGCCCTGAACAGTTTATTTAACCTTTCTCATGTGTAAGTAGGAATAATAATAGTACTAAAACCATAGTATTATGGAGCTCTTGACTTAGTGCTTGCTGCGCATTAAATGTTCAGCAAATACCATTTCCATCAATCTATTGTTTTCATTTTATTGTTTTAGATAGGTTCTGTCCTTTGCTTTTTAAATACTTAAAACTTCATGTTCTGTTAAAGTAGTCTTTTTAAAAATTTTATTGTGTGTTTGTTTATTGGGTAAGAAAGGTATACAGAAAAGCATTCTGTTCATGACTGTCTCTTCCCAGAATTAAAATGTGACAATTTAATTTCTTAAAGACTGGTTTAATTAGCTTTGAGCCCACGCAAGGCTTATATTTAGCACTGAAATAAATTTTGATACTGTTATGAACACGTTGATGTTGAAAATTATAATGAATACCTCTTTGCTTAAATGATAACTGTGATGTTTATCTTGGTACTGATTGTTACAGGTGAAAAACTGCAGTGGTTTCAAAATCATCTTGATCCCAAAAAAGGAGGATATTCAAAGAAAGATGCTTGTGAATTAATTGAAAGGTAAACACTGCGCATGTTACGAGCAAAGGGTCAGAGAAAGGAATTGTTCAATTTGGTTCTGCAAGAGGCAGTGCTCATCTTGATTTATAGAAGAGCAAATGGGCTTTGTCGTCAGAAAGACTTTGGATTATGCCCCAGCCTCTTCACTTCAGCGGGTTGTGGTCTTTCTGTGCTTCACAGTGGTAGTTATCCCTTGGACCAGTGGAGGCTTCCCGGGGAAATACCATCTACAGTGACCCCGAAGGGTAGGGTCAGCAGATTGAGCTAAATCGTTTGAAGAGCCTCTAGGCAGAGACCAGGAGGATATAAAAGGTCCCGAGGTGAGAAGGCCATGCATAGTGAACCTGCCAGACAGCTGAGATGCCTGAAGTAACAGGTTCAAGGAGGGAATTGTGACAGGGCTGGTGGGGAACGATCAGCTCATGAAAGACCTCAGTTATCATTGTAAGAGTTTGGACTTGACCAAAGGACATTCAGAGCCATGGGAGGCTTTTACAGCACGCACCTGGGATGGTCGTATTTAAAATTTAGAAAAGTCACAGTAGTGAGAGTGAGGATCATGGCCTGACAGGACATGAACAGGGCCAGGAGACCTTGAGAGGCTGATGAAATACTCCAGGCAGTAGACAGTGTGGCCTCTGCTTGGTCAGTAGCAGTGTGGTGAAGAGACATGCAGGATTCTGGAGATGATAAGAAAGTAGAAGTCTCCATCTTTGGTGAAAACCTAGATGTGTCGTAACAGGGAGGAGGGGCGTGAAGGAGGGCACTTTAACTGGGCAGTGGGATGAATGGTCTTACTGTTTCCTGAGAGAGAGAAGGTGGAGCAGGTTCGGTGGGCGATGGGGAGGGGCGGGGTCAGGACCAGTGCAGTTGTGACGTGTGAAGCCTCTGCGGGACTCCCAAGTGGAGGTGTTCGGGAGTGGTTGAATGCGCATATGGAGTCTAACGGGTGCTTCGATAGCAGTTAGTGATTGGGTTGCTAAAACTTTGAGAATGGTGGTTATCCAGGGAGGTGTGAGGTCTGAGGACTTGAACTCAGAGGAGTATAAACATTTAAAGGATAGGCAAAGGTTAGCAACGGGGAAGTGGGAGGAGGAGAGAGGGGGAAAAGGTACAGAGAATCAGTAGCATAGATGGTAGGTAGAAAATAGACAGGGGGAGGGCAAGAATAGTATGGGAAATGTAGAAGCTAAAGAACTTATGACACATGGACATGAACTAAAGGGGGGGAATGTGGGTGGGAGAGGGTATACAGGGTGGAGGGGAGTGAAGGGGGAAAGTGGGACAACTGTAATAGCATAATCAATAAAATATGTTACACACACACACACATAAAGGATAGGCGAAAGCTGGGGGCTAAACTTTAAATAAAAATAACATAAGCCAAATACACAGACTTGGTCACTCAGATCCTTTCTTATTTTTCAGGTACTTAAATCGATTCAGCAGTGAGCTGGAGCAGATTGAGTTACATAACAGCATCAGAGGCAGGCAGGGGAGACGGCACTGTTCCCGGGAGACAGTCATCAGACAGACGATGGAGCGCGAGCGGCAGCAGTACGAAGGATACGGCCTCGGTGTGTTCTCTGAGGTTTGCTTTTCTTTCCCAAGTGCATAGCAGTGTCAGATTTGTGGTTTGTTTCAAAGGTTTATTATTTCATTTCGTTTAGTTTGACTATCTTCCTTTGATTTCCTTTCTTTTGTGAGTATGTGGAATCAGCTTAATTCATTCTTTTTTCCCCTAACTGTCCCCCAAACTGTCAGTTGTGACAGTGACATCATGTCTTTCTCCTGTGAGAGTAACCTTTTCCTCTCGCCTCTGGGACATACCTGTGTGCTTTGTTCCAGAGTCCCTACGTTCCCATCTCCAACCACATCTAAGTTTCTTTAGAAGGTGCTGCGTCCTTCTCGTCTTTGTCGTTCTTGTAGAACCAAGCTACCCTATTGCAGCCATTCTTGACAAACTATACAAATCCAATATTCATTCTTGGCATTACAACACTTCTTACAATTCTTTAAGACCAGTGTGTTGCTAGTTTACCGGCACTGTCTGAAGGGAAGCACTTTAAAGGAGAAGGTACTTAAGGCTCTCAAAGCCTGCAAACATGGACATGATTTGTCCCAAGCCTACATACTGCCTAAAAATGGTATTTGATTGGCTTATTAATTGTCAACATTTTAAAATCTGGTGATTTCACATGACAAATGTAGATTTCTGGCTTATCTTTAAAAATCAGATGGTCTGGCAATATTATCTGCTAGATGTACTGTGCTCCCCTTTTCCTGTAAAGGAGGCCCTTTTGGCTTCTGTTTGGCCTGCCTGAATTGTCAGCATCACGACTTGTATGTTGGGGATGTTATTCAGTGAAGTACAGCGTACTTGAACCAACACTGCGATACCACAACAGTAGTTCAGACAACTGAGGCAGCTACTAAGTGGCCGACAGACAGGTAGGTCGATACACTGAACACAGGGATGGTTCCTGTCCCAGGCGGGACGGAGTGGGGCATTGAGAGATTTCATCAAGCTACTCAGAATGGTTTGCAAATTAAAACTTATGAATCATTTCTGTAACTTTCCATTTCATAATTTCGAACTGGGGTTAATCTCGGATGACTGAAACTTCGGAAAGTGAAATTGCAGATGGGGGACTACTGTAGGTTTGTTTTGACAGATTCTGTGTTGGAACTTAATAGTGTTCTGCTTAAATCACCTTCCTAAACTAAGCTCTTTATACTTGCAAGACTTTCATATAGCATTATAATAGTGCTTTGAAGTTGTTTTACTTTGGGTGTCCTTGCTGTCAATTATTATTTGTTGCACTTGAGATAAAAAAAGAGGAAACTGTGAAATGTACTTTAGAAAACATTGCCTAATGGATATAAATTATTTTCTTTCCCAGAGATTCCAGATATTGTAAATGCAGGTAATCTGAAAACTTTTAGGTGAGTCTGTTACTTTTATTGTTCCTTGAAGCAGCAATATGTAAAATACATGAGACATAAAATTTCTTCTTTTGAATCTAGACATCAGACTTGACAGAAAATCAGCGTTTTTATTTTTTTAACCTTTTCTCTTTTATCAAAGTAGAATTTCCCTAAGTTGTGTTTATTTGAAACACCAGATATACACTGAAATGATAGTGACGTGAGGCTTTTATTTCCTTTTCAAAATATTTTAAAATACTTTACTATAGTAGTTAAAAGAACCTGATCTCACTATTCCTCCCCCAGTGCTTATGTTTTAAAAAGAAATACTAGCAACCAGTCTGATGGCTCAGCGTCAATCCCAGACTATTTTGCAGCACCCTCCTTTGCAGAAGTTGGTTAAAGGAAAGTGATACCAGCAGAAGGGCTGTACCATCCAGAGCCAGGTGGTCCAGTGGTCTCTCTAATAGTACTCTTTTTTATTTTATTTTTTTAAATCCTCACAGGAGGACATGTTTATCGATTTTAGAGAGAGGGGGGAAAGAAGGGAGTGAGAAGGAGAGAAACATCAATGAGGGAGAGAAACATCAGTTGGTTGCCTCGCATGCGCCCCACCAGGGGACCAAACCTTCAACCTAGGTATGTGCCTTCACCAGGAATCAGTCCACAGCCTGTGGGTCTGCAGGACGATGCTCCAGCCAACTGACCCACACTGGCTAGGGCTACTAATACTCTTTTTTGACCAGAGAGACCACTGAGTAGGATTTCTTTTTTTCAAACATGGCTTTTTTGTTATTTTTTTTTAAGATTTTATTTATTTACTTTTAGTGAGAGTAGATGGGAGGGAGAGAGGGAGAGGGAAACATCAATGTGAGAAACACATCGATCGATCGATTAGTTGCCTTGCCCCCAACTGGGGGCCTGCCCGCAGCCCAGGCATGTGCCCTGGCCTCTCCGTTCATGGGTTGGGCAGCTGGGGCTCAGTCCACTAGTCTCACCAGCCAGGGTGGCTTTTTTTTTGTTTTTACAAACTGATTTTCATTAAATATTTTTGTTGTGACTAGACCTTGTTGATGGATCTGAAGTTTTGTTCATTGAAATTAGATAAATTAAGTCTCATATTCTTTGACACCTTTAAGCTCATTTTATATTTTATACTTATGAATTCATAGAAAAATATTTTGTATTTAATACTTGTAAAATATTGATTCTAATAAAATTCACCAATCATATTTAAGTAGTTTACTTTTTTTATATCCAAATATCTATTTAGATCTTTAATTACTAATTTAGTATTTTTTTAAAAGATTTTATTTATTTTTTTAGAGAGGGAAGGGAGGGAGAAAGAGAGAGGAGAGAGAGAAACATCAATGTGCGGTTGCTGGGGGCCGTGGCCTGCAACCTAGGTATGTGCCCTGACTGGGAATCGAACCTGCAACACTTTGGTTTGCAGCCCGAGCTCAATCCACTGAGCTACGCCAGCCGGGGCTTAGAAGTAGTGTACTTTTATGCTCATGAATATGTATTTATAATTTAGATACATGGAGCTTAAGATTCTTTTTATACCTTAATTATTTTTTGCCTGAAACAGTAATTAACTACATTTATGTGTGGTCTTTTTTCCTAAAATAACTATGTTCTACCTCTCCTGAAGAAAACCAGAAGAGAGAGAAGAATTCAGCATAGAGTATTCATAGGTATTGCTAGAGTTTAGTTCTCAAAGCAGTCTTCACCTTGCTCCGAAAGTAAATGATCACAGGGTAGTCACAGTAAACTCTGAGGTTGAAAAACTAAGTTTTCTACTATAACCATGCAAGTTGCTTGATTACTGAAATTCACCTGTGATTGACTACTGTGTCTAGAAGGAAAACCTTTCTGGCTGTGCATTTTGAAGATTTGCCAGGTGTAATATGGTTCTTATTGGTGAGACTCTCCGTGCCACGGAGCCTGCCCGACAGAAGTGCTCAGGTTCAGGGAGAGGAGGCGAGTGGAGCAGAGCCTCCTTGTAACTTCTGTGTGATGGGTGCCTGTGTTGCTTTGGGAATTTTGATGTGGGGATCCTCTCCAATGCATTTATATTGTTTCTTTGCGGTGTATTTGAATCTGCTATAAATTTTTTAAAAGTTTTCTGCTACTTTCAGAGTTTTGAATATTGACTTTTTCCTGTTTCGCCACCTCACACCCTGCCAACCCTGTATACTCTTTCTTTTTTGTAGGGAATGGGATTTTGATCTGAAGAAATTGCCAAACATTAAAATGAGAAAAATATGTGTTAATGATGCTGTTCCCAAAAAACTCAAGAAGGAAACTAGCACAGCTGTTGACGAAGATTTAGGGGACTTGGAACTAAATGATGAACCAAGTGACTCAGATGAAGAAATGACTGCGGTGGCCTGATTGTTCTTCACTTGACTTGAAAATAAATACTGGAGAGCCTCAAGCTACACTTGAATTGATTATAGCAAATAATTGCCTAGACACAAGGATTTGCTATTTAGCTTCTTTTACATGATGAGAATCCCACTTGCAGTTTAAAATGTTATGATTTTTATTTAAAAATGAATTATTTTTTTATTTACATTAAATTGCTAAAATAGCCCCGGCTGGTGTGGCTCAGTGGATTGAACACCGTCCTGAGAACCAAATGCTCACCTGTTCGATGCCCAGTCAGGGCGCATGGCTGGGTTGCGGGCCAGGTCCCCAGTAGGGGTGTGTGAGAGGCAACCACACATTGGTGTTTCTCTCCCTTTCTTTCTTTCTCCCTCCTTTCCTCTGTCTCTAAAAATAAATAAATGAAATCATTTAAAAAAAGATTTAAAAATAAGATTCTCTGAAAATTGGGGAAATTGAATCTAAAAAACATTTAAAAATAAATTGCTAAAATAGATACAGTGAAATAAAACAGTGATTTTTAAGATCTGTTTTACCTAAATGTTGGGCTGGAAAGAGCAGTATAAATAAGGAGAAAAAATGGTTTAATGTTTTCCTCATGTCTGTCTAGGATCGCACAATCGCCCATTTCGGGGCGAGGACAGCAGCCTGGTCTCAGAAAGGGTCTGTGGGCACGGAAGTAGCGATGATAGCAGAAATGCCCCTGGTACTAACGTTTCACTAATCTCCCTCTTAAACTTGAAGCCTGTTTTCTTATAAAACAGGGAAAATTGGATGTGGAAATCATGTACTGATGGATTGTACATTATTTTTATTTATTGTATGAGTCAGAGTTAAGTGGTAAAAAAATGCAGAGACTGTTACTTGTTTTGTCGATCTCCCACACTTCATTGGCTGTCTTTTGTTAAAGGGGTAGCTCTTCTGTTTGTGTATTATTTTCCGCTTTCTCATTGTGAAAAGTGGTAGGTTTTATTTGTGGCAACAGACCTAAAGATTAAAGAATCAATTTTTTCAGTTGTGTGGTTTTTTTTCTTCTTAGAGATAGGTTAAATGACACCTACAACAACTCAGTATTCCAAAAAGTGTGAATATCATAAATGTAGCAGAACGCTGTTCTTCATAGGACTCGTGTGCAGACATCCTTTAGTCTGTTTCTAAAGGAGGCAATGCAAGTGTCTCTGGGTATTTTCAAGAAAATAATAAAAAAATGCTATATGAGGTTCACTGGATATCATCTAAGTTTTGTAAACAATTTATTGAAAATGTTCAGGCTTTTTTACTTTTGAAAGTTAAAAATAAAATTTATTCTTATAATTATACTTCCTAAGGTTCTAATTGTTTCAGTAGCAGTGATGTAACATGCTGACTTTTGCTTTCTTGTGACAGTATGGTTTTATGGTTACATGGGAAGGTCTCAATCTCTAGTCTCTGGAAAATTTCCTTTTTGCGTGTTCATATTTAGTCTCAAACGGCTATAAAAACAGTCATGAAGTACAGTAAAGAGAATAATAGATGTTTTATCTGGTCTGATATTTAAAAAGCCATACTGTTAGATGAATAACTTGTGAAGATAGCATATCATCCTTCCCCTCAAACATTTGTTCTCAGCTTTTCCTGTGCTATAAACGTAGAAAGTGTAACAAGTCACGATGCTTGGAACTAGGACAGAAGAATGTTGAGTGAATGACTTCACCATCAAGGACCACATTTGTCATGTCAGCCCTTGCAGGCCCCCTGTAGCCCTTAACCATTGACTAGAACATGTTCTCTCGCAGCCCTGACTTTGCTGCCCGACCTGGACTCCTTCAGGGCGGTAAGTCTAGCTTCTGGCGTCCACGGCCTTGGGAGAGTCAGAGTAACTCACTTTGTCGGCACTTCTGCATCAGCTAGGGCTTGGCAAACTTCATTTTTTGTTGTTTTTAAGAGCCAGGCAGTAAATATTTTAGGTGTTTCAGGCCAAATGCACTTTCTGTTGCATAATCTTGTTTGTGTGTCTGCTTTACCACCCTTGAAAAGTGTAAAAACCGTTCTTAGTTCAATGCCATCCATGAATGGGCTGCAGGCTGGGTTTGGCCTGCTTGTCATAGTTTGCCAGCCCCTAGTCTACATCAGCGAGCTGAACTCCCATGGACATAGGCCAGTGATACATTTCTAAGCTCAGAGCAACTAACTCTGACATCCGTGGTCTCTTCCTAATATCCTAGTCATTTCCTTGCCTATAAAAAGACAACAGGTGTCTTTTTAGGACTCTTCAGCCTCAAACAGAAGCTTTTTTATGCTCCTATCCCTTGTGCTTCAGGGTCAGGAGGTTGGATAAATGTTCTCTTCTTCGTTCTGTCACTTCCAAGTCATTTCTCTCTCAGTTCTTTGAAGTTCTGTTGTCTCCCTTCCTTACTGTCTTACCTCCCAGAAGAACCTTCTGCTCCTGGCTTGAAGACTTTAGCTTTTGGCTCCATTTTCTTCTCTATTTCAGTAATTTTAGTGCTTCCATTAACAAATCTAACACCATGACCTTGAAGTTTCTCAGTCTTTTTCCCATCAGAGCCTTCTCGGTGCTCACACCCACCCAAATCCTTGTCAGCACCTGAAATTTCTATGAACTTGACTATGAGTATTTCCTTTTCCATTCACTTTCTCCCCTCCCTCTCCATTGAAGTTCTGCACTTTAACCTCACTGTCTCCTTACACCTTACACATCACCTATTTCCCATCTTCAGATTCTTTCTTGCTCAGAGTTCCTAGTTGCTTCCTTGACACCTTCACTTATCTGCCCCTGGTTGCACAGCGTTCCTCTTTAAAACCCAAAGTGAAGCTCAATTATGTCTCCTCCACACCTGTTCCTAAGCAGCTCAACCTTACTGGAGAGTATCAGACCATTTTCCGACTCATGTTTATAAATCTCAAGTGGATTTTCAATATTTCTTGGCAATTTTATTGGGTTTCCCTAAGAAGCTCATATTCTACATTTGACACTTTTACTATATTTTCATGCTTTCTAATTTGACTTTAATGCCGCCTTCAATAGTCAGCCGTTAATTTTCTTATATATAATTGAGGAAATAGAAATTTATTTTCCTTTGATTGAATGGATGTCGTAGCTTTCTCCTTTCAAAGTCCGGCACCCCTCTCTGTGTGCTGGATCCCACTCCTGCTGTCTTCTCTGGAACCTTGACTTCGCCCAAGGTTTTCACCTCATTTGTCAAGGCAGAAAAATGCCTGTAAGTCAGGGGTGTCAAACCCATTTTCACTAGGGACCTCGAGGTTGCCTTCAAAGGGCTGAATGTAATTTTAGGACTGTATAAACGTAACTACTTAACTCTAGGGGCAAGGAGCTCCGTGCAGCTACCGGGTAGAAACAAGGTGCCAGGCAAGATAAAACAAAGTGGAGGGTCGGTTGTGGCCTGCAGACCTGTGTTTGCCACCTGTGCCCTAAGTCATCCTTGATCCTTCCCTTTCTCTCGCGCATGCCCTCCTCCGGTCTAGTTTAATTAGTGGCTATTTCTGGTTCTATTTCCTGAAGAGGAAGGAAGATCCATCCATGCCAGGCCATCCCCACTTTCACCCCTACCTAAGTCACCGTGTGTGTGGCTGCACCATGACCAGTAGCCTCCTAACTGGCCGTTGCGAACAAGAACTAACTGTTCTTGCCTCGCTTATGAGAGAATGGTGCAGGAGACGGCCCACGGGCCCCGTGCCCCCCCGTGTGTAGCCTCTCCCATTATCCCCCACCAGAGTGGTAATTTGTTACACGTGATGAACCTACAATGCCATCCATCACACTCTGAATGAAATTCAGGTTCCCTACCACAACCAGCGGGACCTGGAATGCTTTGATTCCTGTTTCGTCAACCTCAGCTTATTTTCACCGGCCTGTGGCTTACTGTACTCCAGACACCCCAGCCTTCTGTCCATATCTGAAATATCCACGCTGTCTCCTGCAGTGGGACAGTCCTCCCGGCGCCCTGATGGCCATGGTGTACCCACGTAGTTCCCCTTGGGCCAGGTCTGGTCACAGCTGCCCTGAGCTTTAGGAGAATGGCCTGTGATCGTCCTGGAACACAATTGGGGACACCTGGGAGAATCCACCACGGGCCACTTCACATCTGCCTCCCTATCTTCCAGGGAGGCCCTGTGGCACAGCTAGCCGTTGCCTCCTGGGTTCTGATGAAGATGAGTTTTCCCCCCTCACCATCTCGTTAGGGTGCAGCTGCAGGCTATCAACTGCTGAGATGCACGTGGAATCCGCAACAGTGATTCCACGTGCATCTCAGCAGCTGTGATTCCACAGCTATGATTCCACAGCAGTGCTGCAGCCCTTGGCTTCTCTGAACCTGTCAGCTGGTCCTTTTGCTTTTTGTGTCTTTCCTTGGGGCAAGACTCACAGAGAATGGGCACCTTAGTTCATCTTTCTTTTGCTGTCTCCGAGTAATGAGCTGCAACCCTACCAAGGGCTCATAATTTTTTACTGGTTCAGTCTTGCCTGACCTTCCCCAGCCAGGACTTCGGCACTTGCTGTTTTCTCTGCTGGTGTTGTCAGTTCCCCGAATTAAACTCTCTGCCCACACCCTTGTTGCCCATGTTATCTCTGTCACACTCTCTGTTTTAGGAGCATTAGCCGAGCACACAGAAACAAGGGTTTGTGATGGAGGGGCGTTGGTTGTAATTTGGGAGATGGGAGAAGGCAGTTCGGATAGCCAGTTTGGCCAGAGAAGGAGCTCATACGAGAGTGATCTGCAGTCTCCTCGGATGTCCAGAGGCCCCCTGGGCCCGGCAGTCTCTGTCCCTGATTCTGGACCACACATTGGGGCTTGGGGAGGGACGCTTTCCTCCCTAATCACCAAACCTCCTAGATTAGAAATAGATTCCAAATTTTTTCTCTTAGCATTTATCTGTGAAATTATCTGAACCTACTCTTTCATTATATCTGAATAGAAAAATGCTGTTATGTTCCTTTGTTTAGCCAAGCCCTACTCATGAGAAAATCCTTTCTCTATATTACATTGTTCCGTTATTGTAAAAGGGTTGGGAAGTCTGTATAGGTTATTTCTGTTGGTTTTCTCTTGGTAATGCATCTGCTAGTTCCTTCCTACAATGTCATGCGTTAGTCTGTGTGCTGGCCTCAAGATGATTCTAGGTAGGTTCACACCCTGCTTAAAAACCCAGACTTCTGTGAAACCTGAGGAGCCAAGCCTGTTTGAATGCTGCAGATGCAAGTCAGCAGGAATCCTGGTACGTTCATCAAAAACGACAGAAAATACAACAAAGGTATGAGTCACTTGTTTAATATACAAAGTCTGTCACAGATAATTATTTTCTTTTCCTTAATTTGCCTTAGTACACATTATCCACAAAACAGTAAATTGTTAATGCAAGATAATCAGGTAAAACCAAAAAAGTACAAATGCTCAATCTCAAAAATTGCACACAGCTAAAACAATTTTTTTCTTGTTTGTTTTAATGCAAGATCCAATTTCAAAATGGGCTTTCTTCAGATGTGATGGAACACCGCAGCCCAAAAACTAACAGGACACCCTTTCAACTGCATTGATATGTAAAATAGCACCTTTGGGCTGACTTAAGAAAAAAGGTTTTCATCTTTCTTAATTAAAGTGTAAGTCCTACACAATTATTATATAACAACTACAATAATGATAATCGTAAGTTTTAAGAGCTCCACTTTGTCCCAAAGTATCCATTGGCAAGGCAAGGACAGGTAAACTGTGTCAGGCCGATGGAATGATCTTACCCATCTGATCCCCAAAACAGGTGCAATAACCATGTCATTGCTCTCTGATGAGCTAATTTTCCAACCCAAGAGTGGCCATTTGAGGGACACCCAAGGACCTTTTCTGCAAAACAAATTAACAATGAGGCCATCTCTCTGGAACCATAACCACATGTAACAGCAGCTCAGAGTGAGATTTAATCTCAGGGCATTTTGAAGGACTCTTGGCATACACCAATCTTCACTCAGTGTTCCCATTGCTATATCTCAGACTGATGGGATCACCTTTTGTTTTGATTTTTTTTTCATTTTGGTTTTGTGTTTGTATTTAAGTTTCATGGCCTTTTGGGCTTCACTTATAAGACAAAGATACTTGAATTTCAGTCCTTTGCAATTTAAACTTTGATCCTAAACAATAAAAGTGACAGTTCTTAAAAAAATTAACAGCATAAATGTTTGTGATGTATGGTAATACTACAGATTCATCATTAGAAAAAGCCAAAGTTTTTAACAGAACCATAAACCCATTCTTCAATTTCAGTCCTTTGTCTCCATTCCATTTTGTTTTTCTTTTATCAGCAGGGAAACATGCTTGAAAAAAAATCATTCTGGAGAGCAGATTTTCTTTCCAAAGGGCATATCTAGTCCACAAAAGCCAAATCTTTCTACAGACAAGACTAATGTACCATTGCCACATGGAACATAAGAAGAAAATGATCAACATTACGTTTTAAGTGCACATAGTTATTTAGATGGAACCATAAACAGCCACTGCAGAAAAACTTTTTAAAAGATTTACATTCAGGAGTTCACGGTTTAAAAAGGTCAGAAGAATAGCAGAATAAAATGTACCGTATTTTTCTGGGGGTCTCAGCATAAGACGTACCTAGGTTTTAGAGGTGGAAAATAGGAGAAAAAAATTGAAGCAAAAATGTGGTAAAAAAAAAGTACATCTTATAGTCTGAAAAATACAGTAGATTTTGGCTTGCCAGAGCACTATATTATTTTCTCCTTTAAAAAAAAGTTAAAACCTGTACAAATTAATTTTGAGAATTTAGGCTTGGTTTTAAAACACCCTGCCATCTTCTAACAGTCATACAATAATGTTTATCTTGACTTTCCATTTTAGAAATGTTTTCTTAGTGTTAAGGGTAGCCCTTCATACACTTGGCCTTATTTGAGCCAGACCTCTACCCGCTGTGAAATGAGTTCTGCACCCACCTATCTTGCTTAGGTTTGCACAGTATTTAAATGATATTTTTGGTGGTGATAATTCTTTTTCTTCCAGAGCAAACAAGAGAAATTATTTCTTTGTTGGCTGGTGACTGGATTTTCCCCCCTGGAATATTTGTAAACAGCATATTGCCACTGCTAAACCACAGGAAAAATGGATTAGTAAAAAGCAGAAAAATCAACAGTTACACTAAATCAAGGTTAATCCCTTGGGTAATGGGCCCCAGAGTTTAGTTTAAGTTTCATAATTTCTATTACACCCCTCATGTCCTTATTTGTACAGAAATCTTGGTCCAATGTAGCTACCTCAATTTCATTATCCCTGGCCTTTATTCCACATCCATCTGTACAAGAAGTTTTAAGAAAGATGAGTCATAAACCTTTTGTTCCCTGACCGAACACATTTTTCTCATGTATAGACATGAGGACACACACATGCCACACACGCAGAGTGGACATGGTTTCCCTTTTCTTCATTTCTGGGGATCAGGACTATTTGGACCCTGGGTGGGCACTGATACCCACGTCATCGTTCTCCCTGCAAGGTTGTCACCCCCCTCCTACCGTGTCTGGGAAGAACCAGCCCAGGGACAGTCACAACTGCATCGCTGCGGTGCCCAGACGGCTGGCTGCACGGCCACACCCAGGCTTTGGCTCTCATGGCCATCAAGGCTGCCTTCTCACGATAATAAATATGACAGCTCACAAAAATAAGTCACCTTTTTAAAATGTAGAACATCTCTTTGACGGGCCACTATATCTACAATCGTTAATCTAGCTCACCGCAGTATCATTCACGCTTCAGTTTTACATGAATATGCAAAGAACACCGTAATCAACTGAACTGTCAAACCTAAACAACTCAATTTATTACTTATCACAGAATCTGTTGAATGTTTTTGCTTCCCAGCTGAGCAAGGGAAATACTGTCAACTTTTACAAATAGAGTTTAAATGCTAAACTGCTCATCTGTCAAGTGAACACCTTATGTGGATTTTTTTTAAAAAAGCCTTACACATTTCACCATAACAAAATAGGTAACCATTATGTTCCCTATCCTAAGCATTTCTTGGTAGCAAACACGTGATTTCAGAACACTGCCGCAGGCAGACTGCTTTATCTTTCTCTACTTGTGTTCTGTTCACTCTTTTAACAACTTTACCTAACTTCAACCAGGCTGTTGAATTTGATTGAGTGCTTTGTAAAATTATAACATTTGTGAGACTTTGAGTAAGAGAATGAATTAAGCTGCTGTTTTGAAATAGCCAACTGTTGAATGAATCAGAGGTTCTGTCCTCAGTGTAGGGCTGTGCCCGCCGATCTGCTTAGCTCAAACTGAGATGTGCTGTAAGGATCAAATGCAGATCGGATTTTGGAGACTTGGTTCGTAAGAAAAGATGTAAACTATCTCAATAATTTTTAATATTGATGACATGTCGAAATAACTTGAATATATAGTGTTAAATAAAATACATTATTAAAATTAATTTTACCTTTTTATTTTAAAATTTTCTAAAGGAGCTATTAGGAAATTTAAAATTTACATATTTGACCTGCGTTTGTAGCTTACAATATAGTTTTGAGAGACAATGCTGTTTCAGAGGGTCCAGATAAAATATGGGAACTGATAGTTGATTTCAACTTCTATTAATTAACAGAGCCAATTAAGCCCCCAGAAATCTCTGAAAATCTTTCATTCATGATTTAAGTATAATTCCAAGTATTAGTATCTTCAAATGTGTACTGCATCTTTTTAAAAATCATGCATCTCTCAAAACAACTGGCCTGCACTGTCGCCATCAAAATCTACCATCTGTCAGAGTGTGACTGGCACAGGCTGCATCCCCCAGCTGTGCTTCTGAGGGGCCTCAGGAATAATGCGGACAGTTGCAAGCTTAAAGCCGACCACAACTGTTACTTCCAGATCAGACAGTTAACATTAGGAGGCCTTAGAAGACATACACATCGCAATTCAAGTCTGTACTCAGAGCCTTCCCCCGGATGCTGCGAAGGCTCCTGTGTCCCTGCAGTCGGACCACGAACGTCACTGAAGAGTGTGCCTTGCTCCGGCGGTTTTTAATTGTTTTAGAAATCCCTCTTCAAGCAACTTTTCACATTCACGCTTTAGACTCTGCTTCATGGGATCCTGGTCATCTGGTGTCTTTTCCTCCTTTTTGAGCGAAGTTAGGAAAACTGAGTCAGTAGGAGAAGAGGGAGAAGTAAGGAGACCGAGTAATTCAGGATCACTGCTGTCATTTGTAGTGGCTGAGGGCTGGAACGATACTCTTCCACGAAGGGACTCCCCCACCCCAGGCCCCGTCACACGGGGATGACTTCGGAGGGGCTGCCTTCTGCGGAGGGCAGTGAGCTCGGACCCGTCTGTAACACAGGCACGACCACAGCATCCTTGAGGTCCGTGTTTACGGCGCACGAGCAGCTCTTCTCCTGTTTTTTGGCAGTGTCCGGGCAATTCTGCACAAAGATCACTCGGTTGTAGGCCTTCAGCCTGCGCCACAGTTGGATGTAGGCTTTACACTGAACGTACATGAAGACGAGACCTCCTGTGAAGCCGATGGCCACCACAACCAGTTTCGTCCAAAATGGCCATTCGAGGACGCCTTTGAAATAAGGAGGAGAACGTTATTACCACATTGCTACCTATAGATCTGGTGATTTTTTTCTCTACGACTCCTTCAAAAGACCGTGCCTGCCTGCTAAATTTTGTAGGTAAGGAATATATTGCTATATAAATAAAACAGGGTGTCCAACCTTTTGGCATCTCTGCACCACACTGGAAGAAGAAGAGTTGTCTTGGGCCACACATTAAATACATTGCGACACACAATCACAAAACAATCTCATAATGTTTTAAGTAAATTTACGACTTTGTGTTGGGCCACATTCAGAGCCATCCTGGGCCGCATGCAGCCTGCGGGCTGCAGATTAGACACCCTTGATTGTAAAATTTTGTGACTGAGAATTATAACCTGAATGGCTTAATTGCTTCCTAAAGGTTCTGAAGGTTTTGTTAACATTGTGTATGAAGAAAGTCTCTTACCTATCACTATAATGATACCTCATATTTCTCCACCTGGTATCAAGTACCTACTATGATTATCGGATATGACATAGATTTTTTTATGCTTACTTTGACGTTCCCTGTAGTTAAATCTTTAAGGAAGGATAGTGGACATATTGAGCAAAGGAATCAGTACTTTACTTTAACAAGGTAAAGTAATAAACAGATGTGTGAGATCATCTTTATACATCTTCCCCCCGTCATTCCCTTTAAAAAAAATGAGAAAGAAAGAAGCTACCCCATCTCACCAGAGAAAGCGAGTTCCTAGCACAGACATGCATAAGATTCAGGGTTACAATCATTTTAGTCAGAATTTAGTCAAATTTTATATTTTGTTACTGAAGCCACCACTTTTCCCCCCAATATAGCCAAAATAGTATTGTCTAAACATATTATCAATGTAAAAGTTATTAATATGTTTACTATACAGCAAAAGATAACAGATATATCCCTTACAAATGGAGCTAATCTAGTATTCACCTTATAGACTTTTTAGTGTGGATTAGGTGAATAGTTCTTGACACATAATGCTGTAAGAATGAAAATTGTTATTGTTGTTGCTGAGTGATTTACCATATTTTGCCTTGTATAATGTGCTCCTGTGTATAATATGCAACCATGCTTTTGGTCCAGACTTTCAGGAAAAAAATCTTTTGTTTTAATTTTTTAAATTCAATTATTTATTTATTTATATTTAGAAACAAAACTGATTATCATATTTCAGGGTATTATTTTGCACACAGATATCATTATAGCTTTCTAGAGTTACACTTTTAACGTATAAGTATAAATAAAATAATTAAAAACAGTTATATAGCTATAGAATTAGTACTACCCATGTATAATGTGCATCCTTATTTTTCCCTCAAAAATTTGGGCAAACATGTGCATTGTACACAGCAAAATACAGTAAATGTTTCATATCTTTGCCTTAATGGATTGTAAATTAAGAGTAAAGATTTCACCGGTGCCTAAACTAAGACCCTTTTAACTTCATTGGGCTTCAACATCTGGCTGCCCTTCCTGGACGCTAGGCAATGAAAACCAGGGATCCTGGTGAGGACGAAGTCCGGTTAGCAGCCAGCCCAGCCACTGGCATTTGTCAGCACTACGCCGCAACCCGGCCCCCTGGTCATCCCTTGCAATTCTAATTCCACTCATGGGGAAAGCTCAGAACTCTCACTGGAAGTTAACTACAATGAAAGGTCCTGAAATGCCTCAGTGGCTGCTCTGCGTGAAGTGTTTATTTGGAAACACTTACGCCAAACTTCCAGACCACAGTGACAATGGCTTGTAAGCTGGGATCTACCCACTGGCCCCTTTCAGACTCATCTGCTTTCCTGCAATACTGTTTCTCTGAAAATACTTTCACTGGAAATAGAATGGGATCCCCACCCCTCTCCACTGGAGGCACGCATGGTGCTAAGTCACCTGTGGCATCTTGCTTCTCTGTTTATTCTTTGAAGTTTAGCCGGGCGAGCCACAAACTCCAATGTGGGTGTTTATAATATAGCTGCAGATAAAGCAAGTTACTGATTTCCTTATCTTTAAAACAGTGATCTCTAAGGTCTCTTCCAACTTGTGAATTCGAATTCTCTGCGTATTCTGCATATGTTATATAGAAGGCCATGTGATTGGGCAGGGACAATGTATATTTAGAAAGAGTAAATGTTAAGTTGGGATCTTTTGGGGTGAGTGCTTAGGTTATGAAGAGTTATAAAATGTGTTTATATAACGGTGTGTACGAGTGGAATAATTGAGGGGTGGTTTTCTCCTTTGTTTTTATCCTGGTTGCTTCTTTCCAGTTGGTATATTATTGAAAAGGAAGAAATGAAAAAAGGAAGAAAGAAGAAAGTTTCACATATTTATAACCTTTTTATTAACTTGTTTTAATGGTAATATTCACTGTGAGTAAATAGGTATGCTGTGTGTGCACTATTGTATAAACACAATGGTTTAATTTATTTGATGTAAGGTCAAGTTCATGGTATCTTTGAAAGATGAATCGTAAAAAGAAATTTTGGAGGGCATTCAGTCCAACTTAGTTGTGACCAATGAGGGCATTGAGCTTCAGAGTGATAATTATCTAGTTCACAATAACTAGCCAGTCAGGGACCAAGGCCGAACTAGAGCCTCGGCCTCGGACAACCAGCCCAATTCAGTGTTGATCGTACAATATTTGGATTGTGAACAACAGCCCATGTAATTAATTTTAAAAGGAATAGTTTAAATGATAATGCTGAAAAGGAAAATATTGTATGGATTGCTGGGAAGTGATTTTTAACGCTGCTCTAAACAGATGGTTATAGCCATAGTTCTTATCTGCTAGACTCAGCCACAGCCAGCCAAAACTTTGGAGCCTCGACTAATGCCACGTGCTCTCTGGATAACGCATCATGTCCCTACCCTGGAGACACATAGAGGTGTGCAAGAGAGCCAGTCATGGGGAGAAAAATCAGTTGGTTATGCTGGTCTCTTATGGTGTATACATTTATATAATTCTGGGGCAACATTAAAATCTGTGCCTATAGTTTTTTTAATAGATAGTATAAAACTGTTATTTTTTCTTGGTCTGTGTTTTTGTGCTTTGTTTTTAACACACAAATAGTATGCTGGAGCATTCTTCTAGAATATGCAAGGACAAGGCACAAAGAGCAATTGTTCTTCCAAATTAGAGTTGACACCATGGCCAATTCAGGATGTTAAAGTTTCGAGCACCATGTTTCTTTTTTTTTCTTTTTTTTCTTTCTTTCTCCCCTCCCCCCTGCCCTGCCACCTTTCACAGGTGACAAGAAAAAGTGAAGTGAGAGTGCTATCTGGGGCATCATGCATATTTCCTCTGAAAGAACAACCATTTAAAAACATGAAGGGATTTTTTTTTCTTCAGGATTGTTATAGCAGTTCAAAAAAAATTGCTGTTTTATAGTCCACCTCAGTTCTGGCAGAAGAAGGACAATTTGTTGCTATTCAAATACTTTTGAAGGTTTTCAAGATGGATTGAAAATATGTTGACTTGGTGCAGTTTTTTTCCCCCAAAAGTTTGCAAGTAGTTTCAGGGTCAGCACCTGTAGTCCCAGTGCCAGAGGAAGAGGAAAGTAATTACAGCTCACACAGGTGGCCACCTGCCTGTGCTCAGGGAAGCCAGGCTTTAAATACAATTTAAACAGAAGCACACATGATGCCATTTACAAAAATCACTGGATTCCATTTGAAATTGGCTGAGTTAGGACTAGTCCCCCTGGCAAGTGGCTCTGTAGAAATAGCCACAGGGACTGCTTCTTCATAAATACCTTGTTTTTTTTTTTTAATGCAAAAGCTCTGAACACCAAAGAAAAAAGTTATCTAATTTTCACTTGCTTTTAAGAAACTGAAAACAATTTTTTTTTAAAGTCTATGGCAGAAAGCTGACTCTTGCCCATCTGTATATATTTATGGAAACTGACCTTTGATTATCATTCAAGCTTCTCTATTGGGAAATCTAAGGAACCTGACTGACGGTCCATGAAGAGACTGTTTTCTGAAATTCTGCATCTACCCAGAACTGAGAAAGAAAAAATTTGGAAGAAAATATGAAAGATTAACAATGGGAAAGCTTGGGTATGAGGCATTCACACTTAAACGTTGCTTCTGAGGCATTGACTGGGTCACCAGGACCCAGACGCCGCGCTCAGCACCAGAGGTGCACTGGACAGCGAGACTGGCCGCTCCATCTGCTCTGAGCTCAGAGGCTGTGGGTGAGGGGCAGATGGTTAAATGAGCCTTTACTATAATGTGTCCTGATGGGGCAGAGCTTCTCAGGCTGGATGCACAAGAGAATCACTCAAGGATAATAAAGTCTAAACCTCTGGGGATAAAACTGAGGCTCTGTAGTGGCCTAGAAACTTCCCTGGTAATTCAAATTAGGCAATCCAGGTGGAGTAAGGGGTGGGAGAGGAGGGTTAAGTGCACGTTGCTATAGGAACACCTGGTTCTCCACGCGTGGAGGGCATCACAATCGCTTAGTTTCATAAGCACAAATAGCTGGGCTCCACCCACAGAATTTCTGATTCTGGTCTGGGGTGGGGAGAGGCCAAAATCTGCATTTCTCCAACAAGTGCCCAGGAGCTGCTAATGCTCTTGGTCCAAGAGACACATTTTGAGAATCACTTTGTGATTGCTAGTAATAATGACTGTAGTGTGGGCAGCTGAACTAGGTGTACCTGAGGGGGAACTGCCAAGGGGGGTGGTGGGGGAGGTTAGTGCGAGGTGAGTGCTGTATTTGAGTGTGTGGTGGTGGACAGGAGAAGCTGGGAGGAGGGGTTTCATGCAGAGAGCAAAGTGGAGCAAGGGAGCTGACAGATGTTCGGCATAATTGTCTACGGCTAGGTCATGGGGGGGGGCAGAGAGTCCCGTTAAAGAGTTTGGGGTATACGAGTATTTTAATAATGGCTAATTAGGGATAGGATGTGATTCAGTTTGTATTTTGTAAGCTTGCTGGAAGCACATTATTGAGCAGGGTTTGAAAGTGGGAAAAAAACTAGAGAGTATCTAGTTAAGAAGCTACTGAAGTTTTCAAGTAAAAGATACGACAGTTTGCACATGTATGGCGGCTATGGGGGAGGAGAGAAATGGACAGATTCCAGAGGCACATGGGGCAGAACACATAGGACTACGGTGGAAGTGAGGGAGAGGGGAGAGACGAGGAAAGAAAACTGGACTGGGTTTGGTCCCTGTGTGTTAGGAAAGCCTTTCCCACAGGCGTCGGAGTGGGAAGTGGTAGGAGATGATGAGTCTGGACACACTGAGCTTGGTGCCTGGAAGACCTTTAAGCAGAAACAGGTATTCAAGAGGTAGGCAGATGCATGAGTGGAGTTCAGCATGAGCTGGGGATAAATTTGGAGGATTATCATCAGCAGAGAAACGACAACTAGAGACAGAAGGATCTCCACGGGACCAGAGAGTGAGCAGGCAGAGTCAGATAAATGGAAGGAAGGAAACAGGGGTGGGGGGATGATGGGTTCCTTGGATTCTGGATTGAGACTGTCAAGTTCATGAATCACCATCCACGCCACTCCCACATCTCAGAAGTGGCATTGGGTAAATGAATGTACGAGGGGGTTTCTGACCTATCTGTGAATGAAACGACATGAGATCGCTTCTTATGTCTGGTAGGGGTGGGGGGTTCCCTCCCATGTGGCGGAGGGAAGGCGGAAGGAGCCCTGCAGACGAGGGCAGCTGCGCCAAGTGAGGGTGACTGAGGAAGAGGGCAGGCTCCCCTGGGGCAAGTTTACAAGTGTTCTCAAATACTGAACCCGGGGTTAGACATCTCCACTTACTAAATCCCTGGCTATCTTGCCTGCCCTGGCTTGCTAGGAAAGCACTTGAGTCGTGTGAGGCCGCACGTTGGGTATAGGAAGGTGGGGATAGCGGTGGAAGGCCTGTTTTCCCACACATGTGCAATGCAGTGTTTCTGGCACACTTTCTGGGACTTGGCCTGGGCCAGTACCTGTAAATATAGGGGACGTGGATTAAAAAAACAAATTCCTACCCTCTTGGAGATTATTTAATACAGCATCTCAGGAACAATGCATAATGTAGTTGTAAACAACATAGTTTATATCAACTATATGTTTATATCAACTATATAGTTTGATATAAATTGTATAAAAAATGAGTTAAGGTTGAGTCAAAAAACAACACAAAACCTCACCCTGCCTGTCTGTTTCTCGCTACAGTGCTTTCATTCTTTTTCAGCAGGCATTCTTTTACAGCGAGATCTGTAACTCCATCACCACTCCTCCCGGGACCTCCCTCCCGCGCTAAAACTACTTAAACAGCCTCCCAGTGCCTCGGGCAAGTCCTCACGGCCCCAATTACAGGCCCTGGCGCCCAGTGCTTCTGAACACCCGGGAGAGCACAGGAGCCTGCGCACTGCTGCCACCATGAGGGCAAGTGTGAGAATGCAACATCCTCTCCTGTCTTTATAAAGCACAGGAAACTCAGAAGTAACAACGCTTTCCCTTTTAAATGTTTTTCCTTTCCTCTTCTTTTCCTCACTTCTTCTCATCTTTCTTTCATTTTCCTCTGTTTTTTAGGAAGGTTTGTAAACATTTTCATAATACTGTAAACGTACTGTGTTATCACCTGAACAGTTTCTCCCACCACACTCACCAGGGGTTTAATACTGTTTCCTCCTCCCCTCCCACGCCAACCTTGCCACCGCGGGGCCCGCGGGGGCCAGGGGAATAGTTCTCACCATTGTACGAGCTGTGATTGCGGATACATGCCAAAGCTGCAGCGCCTAGCGGGAAAGAGCTGTGTACCTTTAGAAGTGAAATAATCTCTATTAAATGACCTATCCATTTTAAGTGTCAGAATATGCCTTAATGATTTTTAAACATCCTTCTTTTCAGACCTCACAGTCAAACCTGGTATGTTTAAAATTTCGAACCATAGTGTTAACCCACTCTATCACATTATGTAGTATTAATTAACAAGCTATAATATTCTCTACTAGAGTATTAGCTTATTCGTGTTTTAAAAGAAGCAATGACGAGGGGGAGTTAAAGAAAACCCTTCCATTTTTACAACTGTTTGCCTCTGCACATGAGGAACAACCCAATCCTTATTCCGCTCTGGAAAATTCGGGAGTGGCTCTCCCTACTACGGTCTCCATGGACTGGATCATTAACCTCACATCTCAGCTCGGGACTCCACACCGAATGCTTTACAGTCAGAGTAGTAATTAGTAGCATAATGGGAGAAGACTCAGTCTGCAGTACTGGTTTTTGCTAGTGTTCCATTCATGAAGGTAAACTGGGGAAATGGTTTTCTGACCCAGCTCTGGGGAGCGTCAAAGAATCCAAGAGAGGAAAAGAGAAGAGACATGCATGCTCTTACCATTATCATTGCCTTGCTTGATTTCCTCCGCGGTCCGATCGATTAGTACGTACAGGGACCAAACCACACAGGTGATGGCAATGACGTGGAATGTGACAGAGCAGAATATTTTCCTCCTTTCGCTCGTGGTCATCTGCAGTTTCTCCCACTGCAATCATAAACAAATCACACGAAACTGCATTTCCAAGTCGGAAATTTTGCCCCGCATTTATATCCCACACACCGATCAGAAATGGAGGGAAAATATTAAGTATACGCATGCCGAGGATGCTATAATATTGAAATAACTCTTCATGTTTAGAAAGACTTGAAATCATAACCTGTGGCATTAAAGACAACATGAATAAATATTAAAATGAAAATGATGTTTCCTATTCTCCAAATGAATTACCAGTAAATCATCATTCCTGTGTTGCTAGCCTGTTGTTTTCTTGTCTGTAACATAAATGGGACAGGTGTAATATTGTACAATTTTTAGAAAACATTTCCTTTCAGGTTTCTACATATTGCTTCTTTGTGATACTAGGTTATAAGCAGTACCACATAATTTCTTCTTGGAGGAATGCATAGCCTGATATAGTGTTGCATTTTTCAGTGTATAAATCTAACAAAGTATTTAAATGGCTGGATAATATCTGTGAGAGAACGCCAACATGGGTTCACAACTCTCCCTCCAGGAAACACTCATTTTATTGTCCAGGTAATGCGATTTCAAGAACCTGTGATTCTTTGCATTCTTTACTTACTATGCTCGGGTTAAGCAAAACCTTTAGAACTTCGAAGACCCCACCCCACTCCCATATAAAATTCCATGAACAAGTCAATGGAAAACAAGAAGGCATAAATCATGTTCCATAAAGTCCTGGCTCCGTGACATTGGCAGAGTCCTTTAATTTCTCTGGGACCACTTGCTTCATCATAAGATGCAAATTGCGGCCGAGGCTGCGGCAGGGCACTTTAGAAGAGGTTATCATTCTTTTCTTCCTTTATTAATAGACTGGTAATTCTATGAGGGTTGGCATTGTGCCCGGCGAAAAGCTGCTTCCCAGCCTTCCTTGGCAGAGGAGGACATTGGCTGTCTTCCAACAATCAGATATGAGTGGCTACCTACTTGAATCTCAAGATTTTGCCATCCTGACCCAGGAATTGTCCCTTCCTCCTTTCCTCCATTTTCTTTTCTTTGCTACCTGGAACTCATAATTGCCAGTAAGAGTCCCAGCTGTCATCTTGCCACCTCTGGGAAAAGTCCTGAAAATTGAGGAGGCCTGAGACCTATCGGCAGTAGCACCTTCGGCTGCCACTTACATGCAAGGACAGTAAGTAATGCCCTGTCTGATGAAGCCACATTTCTCAGGACTCTGCTGCTTGCTGTCAAATGCAAGTGCTGGTCAGTGACTCAGACAGAGTCCTCCCAACTTCCCTTCCAGTTTGATGATTAGGATTCTGTGATTTCCTTCTGAAGAGAACACAATATGTCAGGTCTGATGATGATGCTCCAGAGAGCTCCTTAAACATTTTAGAGAAACGAATGTTTTCTTGACAAAGACTATCTGTTTCTCTCCTCTTACTGGCCAATCATCACAGTTTTCTTTATAAAGATTCGTTAGAGCCAATTAAAATTCATATTTCAGCTTGTACTTTCTTTTTCATCAAACTATATTTTACATAGCATTTCAAGTAAATAATGGAGAGCTCTTAGTGATGTGGCCGGGGGAAACTGCATGCTTCAATCCAAAATCTGCTTTTAATTAACTGATAATAAATGGAGAAGATTTTAGTTTGTATATCTTAGCTTTTATCAAAACTTCACGTATCTGAAAGTCTGGTTTTTAAAATTTTGTTATTGAGTTATTATAATGTCAATCTGACTAATCTGTATAACTAGAATAGAATATTATCATCTGTTTATAGCATTTTGTGATTTAATAACTATTTCTTGAACCACCTCAGTATTCAATATGACCAAATAAAAAGTGGAGTGGTACAAAAAGAGTCTTTCTACGTGTTCCAATTTTCTAAATGTCTCAAGTGGGTGAGAATACCTTCAGAAACAAAATATTCATATCAACTCAACCCTCCATTGTAAAACTGGCTTTAGAAAAAAAAACATTAAAATTAGGTCTCTTAAATTTGAGGAGCATTTTGATGCAGTGGCTGAAACGCATTCTTCCAAATTAATGAGCCTCAAATAGAAAAGTATCAGGGGGGCTGACAAGGATGGATCACATCGTGTAAAGGCTCCTGGTTCCAGACAATAGAAATTCTGAAGCTGTCACTTCTTAATCTAAGCAGTATTTTACAAAGAAATGAAGCGTGAAGGGACCGTCCAACATTCCTACTTTCCTTTATAAATCCTTACAGGGACTCTTCAGGTAGTCACTGGACAGAACACACGTAAAGTGATACCACAGCGCCCTCTGCCGCATAATCATATTACTGCATACAATCGTCAGCACAAAGCTTCGCCAGAAATCAATGTATTTTTAGTATAATGGTCATTCACACCCTTGCATTTTGAGGTTTATGTACAAAATGAGAACAAATTTTACAAGCCTCCACATAAGGAATGGATCGAGAAATATTTTAACAAAGCTGCCATGATGGGGCCTTAGTTTAGCATTTGGGATGCTGATACTCAATACCAGTTAACAAAAGATTTTGTGATAGCAAAGTGATAATGTGCACATAAGCATTTGCGCTCCCCTGCCGAGTTTTATAAAATAATGTGTGCTAATATTTACTGTCGTGGCCCCTCTAGAGGGGCGGTCAGAGAGGAGCGCCTCATTGGGTGCGGGGCAGCAATACCTTCAACATCACCTGGCACCTGTTAGAGATGCGAATTTTCGCGCTGCACTTAGAAATGGAGCTCCCGTGGTCTGCCCTGCAGCGGGTGAAGCGCAGCTGTCTGCCGAGGCAGCAATGTCATGGTCACGTTGGCCTTGCCACCCGCAGGGTGCCATGGCCGCGCAGCCTTTCCAATTTAGTTATTTCAGAGTCAAACACTCGCTCTCCAGTCTCTCTGTTTTAAGGTAACACATGCTTCTCCAAGTGGTCTCAATGAAGCAGGTGGAAATGCTAAAGTTGAGCAGCTGGGAAGGCCACGCAGCACAGCGCACCAGCCGCTCTCGATAACCCTTCACGCTAACAACTTCCCACCTGCCCCATTAGTCTTCCAGCTGTCCAGTTCTCTTTAAAGCACAGGTGGCAAACACAAGTCCCCGGGACTGAATCTGGCCCTCCACCTTATTTTATTCGGCCCTGCACCTTGTTTCCACCCCAGGGGCAGCGCTGAGCTCCCTGCTCCCTTGTTAAGGAGTAGTTACATTTATACAGTGCTAAAGTTACATTCGGTGCTTTGAAGGCAACCGCAAAGCTGATGTGGCCCCCGGTGAAAATGAGTTTGACACCCCTGCTTTAACGCCTTCACAACGGGGCATAAACTAGGGTGAGCAATGCCCGTTTTACAAAATCTTACCTATTACACAGGCAGTCTTGGTACTTGCTTTAGGTTTTGTAACTGCCTGGTCTTTGGTACCTGCCTTATTGTTCTCGGCCTTTGGTCCCTTGGGGAAACCCTCAACAGTAGAAAGAGTTGAACAGAACTCTGTTATTCACTTAGAAAAATGCTACTGGTAGTTACAGAGATGGAAATTGCAGCATAAGGAATACAGTAAATAATGTTGTGATAAATATGTATAGGGCAAGTGGGTACTTGAAATATCAGGGAGACTACTCTGTAAAGTATGTGACTGTCTAACCACTCTGCTGTGCATCTGAAACTAATGCAGAATGATATTGAATGTAAACTGTTATTGAAAAAATACTACTGCATTTTTCTGAAAAGATATCCACATTGGAATATAAATTAATGCAAACATTGTTTCTGTGAAATCTCCCATCTACTCTAGCTAAATAAAATAATGCAGGTTTTCTCATTTAAATTCCTTATATTTATATTCTGTCCTAAACTATAAATTAAAAAATACTGCCTGATGAGAATGCTTTTTAAATCTTTGTACCAGTGAAGACTAAAGGCAGTTTATTTGCACAATATCAAAATATACACAAAAGGGGCTGCTTAACTACATCCATTTCCTTTTCTTCCTGGCAGTTCCACTGTATTTTCCAACTTTGTTAACAGCTAGAAAAACCAGAATTATCAGCAAATCTATATAGTGCTGGAGCAAACCACGACCACCAGGTGGCGCCAAGGCCAAAGTGCTGTTATTACAAGGATCATTGTTTTGCGCCCTCTTCGCCCCCGTGGACCACCAGACCCAGAAGCTCCCAGCCAACCAGCTTCACACGCTCCTCCTGGTCATTTCATCAGTTCAGCATAAATGCAAAACCACACTTTAACTGTTTAAAATTGTCTGACCCTCTCTGTTTATCATATTATGGTGGAGTTTACAGGGTCAAGTTTAGGAAAGTTAATGTGTATAAGTGCAGAACAGTATTAGCTGCCTGTATAAAGAATTCAGTAAATGGTTATCCTAACTGGGGACCTGCAGCACACATGGGATTGGGCTCTGTCTTCACCTTCTTGTGAAAAACATCGTGGGAGGATGGAGAGAGGATGGGTTGGATTTGTTCATGCAGAATTAAGGCAGCCAAAGCCCCCAATCCCCACCTATTTTCCACATACAAATAGACTTTTCTGAAAAAGGAATCTCTTAGTAGGAAAATAGTTTTTTTTTGTTACCTGTACAAAGAAAGTAAGTAGATGAATTGCGGTGCATACACAAGGTACATTCATTTAAAAGACTGCACAATTATAGCTTCTTTTTTGTTAGGATTGAAAAAATATGTATCACAGGTTACAGTATAGCCCCAGTAAGTTTTCATGATTTTTGTCTGGAAATTCCATTCAAAATGTTATGTTAATTCTCCCAAAGAAACACTGTTCTGGGTGACTATTTTTACAAAGGGACAAACAGGGACTCGAACATTCCAGATCAAATGAAAGCATTAATGTGAGTGTGTAGGTTATAACTAGTCTTCTCTGAGCAATGCAGTACCCTATCCAAAGGGTCCAGAATTGTGGCCCAGGCTCTTGCTTCGAGCTGTTTTAGTGATTGCGACACCCAAGAAGCTCCTGGAATCAATGAGTAAAAGAGATGCTTCTTTTTCCTCAAAGGTAATTAACTT